TAGGGATTCCCTAGAATTGAACTTATACCTTGTCTCCTATGGGATATGCATTGGGTAGCTTTGCTAGTGCTCAATTAAACCATGATCTTATAACTTGACTAATGTTATATGCGATAAATGTTAAAACATGACTTTTTAGCAACTTGGAAACAGGGGGCTGGAGTGTTTAGCTACTTTCTAAATGCTCCTGATTCCTCTCCCTACGGACTTATCTGTAAGTGATCATCTGAGACGTACAGTACAGCTGTGAGGGCTACATGGCTCTAGCTTTTGCTCGGTATGAGGACCTTTTCTAGCTTGTTAGTGGTTAACTTTATTGGTGTAAGAATGGCTTGATGAATCGGGTATAGTGTGGCCTCTGTCCCCATGAGTATAGGCTGCGTGTCAATGTGCCATTGGGAAGGGGGCTCTATATCTATTTGCCGTGTGAATCTAGCGGCCCTAACTTGTTAGACAAACCTTTGAAAGGCTTCATAGTGAACCCTGCCAACCTTCCTTGGTAGTGGGTCAAGAGGTTGGCCGCCTTGGGCGAAAGGGTGACTCACAACTCACAGTGAAAGTGTACAGCCTCTGCAGAGTGTAAAACTTGTATATTAGCCGTGCTTATGGTCACGAGCGGCCTTGGAACCCTTATGGAATAGATGATCACTAAGAAATATCCATTTATGTTATTCATTATTCATGTTTACATTGATCATGTGTTTTACTTTGGGATTGAAACAACTTGTTGCTACTCTTATGCTAAAACTGTGACAACTAAAAGTTGAACGCTGTTAAACCTGTGTCAAGTCTTTTGAGCCTCATGAACCCCATGTTACACTTGTTGAGTATGACACGTACTTACACTTGTTTATTTTTATTATTTGGATAAAAATCCCAGATGGGTAACAGATGGCTATGGTAATGATGACTTTCCTGAGGATTACTAGACTTGTGGTCAACCAATCGACGTCCCTATGATATGGAGCTTCCACGAGAGATTTTTCTTTATACTTCCGCTATATTTATGTGAAGACTATGTCTTATTATTCGTGATGTAATAAACACTTGTGATGATACTATTTATAATTTGTCAGCTTATGTGTGTGACTGATCTCTGGGCGCACATAAGATTATGCATCCCATTTTATCCTTAAAATCAGGTGTGACAATGGTGGACTGGACGCCCTTGGCTCAACAAAGCCAACAGCCGAAGAATCAAGAATGGACACTTTACACAGATGGGGCCTAGGGGCACCTAGGCGTAGGAGCCTCCGCCGTTCTAATAACGCCATCTGGCCTCCACACAAAGTACATAGCAAGGTTGGAATTCAAAACAACAAATAACATAGCAGAGTACGAAGGCCTCATACTAGGACTCAACAAGGCAAAAGCACTCGGAGCAAAAACAATACTAGCCAAAATAGACTCCCAAGTTGTAGCAGGACAGGTCGAGAAAGAATACACAGCAAGGGAACCAGAATTAGTCAAATACTTGGCCATGGTGAGAGCCCTGAAGCGGAGGTTCCAAGGATTCACCCTGCAGCATATCCTAAGAGCAGAGAACTCCGAGGCAGACGAGCTAGCGAAGGCTGCAGCAAATAACATACCCATACCAAATGGGACCTTCTACCAAGTCCTACAATTGCCAGCAATAGAAACTATTGCGAAGGCATTTAAAACAATCCTAATCACTAAGTCAGAGGACTAGAGGCAAGTAATTATTGACCATCTCAACAACAAGCACCTCACAGAGGATGAAGCAAGTACAACTAGAATGGATGCAAGGGCAAGAAACTACACGATCATAGATGGAATACTTTACCAGAAAGGGGTAGTCCAACCATTGCTAAGATGCGTATCCCAGAGTGAAGGTAGTGAGTTACTATAGGAAATTCATTCAGGATCCTGCGGATCGCACATTGGGCCAAGGGCCCTATTAGCGAAGGCTATCAGACAAGGGTTTTACTATCCTACCCACATCAAAGATGCAGAACATATCGTCAAAACATGCCAAGCTTGCCAGAGCACTTCGCCGCACCAAACAAAGCCTGCGGCATTGACACAACTCATCCCACCTACTTGGCCCCTCTAGAGGTGGGGAATGGACATAGTTGGGCCGCTTCCACCATCCCAAGGGGGGAACAAGTTCACAATAGTGGCCATAGAATACTTCACAAGGTGGATTGAGGCCAAGCCACTTGCTAGAATCAATTAAAAAAATTAAGAAAATCTTCTGGCAAAACATAATCTGCAGATTCGGAGTGCCAAGAATCCTAACAGTGGATAACGGCAAGCAGTTCGACTCGGATAGCTTCAAACAGTTCTGTCAAAGCATTGGAAGAAAGGTTGCATTTACATCTGTATATCACCCAGAATCAAACAGAGCAGTCACAAGAGCCAACAGAGTCATATTTTTAGCAATAGCGAAGACACTGTTCAACCTTCGCAAAGGTAAATGGGCTAAGGAACTACCGAAGGTGGTATGGTCTCACAACACCACAGCCTCAAGAACAACAAGATTCACACCATTTAAACTATTATACGGTGAAGAAGCCATGCTACCCAAAGAAGCTAGGCACCAAAGCCTCCGCGTTATAAAGCAAGCCCTCACAAACAACGAAGAGTACTCCAAAGAAATGATCGAAGGCACAAGACTAGAAGCAATAGAAAGCATCACAAAGTATCAAGAGCAAACCAAAAGATGGAGACAACAAGGTAGTCAGGAAAGGCATACATGACGGAGATCTGGTATTAAGGAGGAAACATAACGCTAAAAACGTCAGAAAGCTCCAGCCGAAGTGGGAAGGCCCCTATACGGCGAAGGCCGCAGGAAGACCCAGTTCGTTTCACCTAATCGATAGTGAAGGCAGAACAACAACCCACACCTAGAACATCGACTGCCTTCGAAAGTTCTACATTTAATTGTAAAAGGTGGCCTTTGCGAAACTATAAGCGAAGGTCACCACAAGCCTTTACTTTCTGCACTTTTTTATATTACGCGCAAAAACGGGCTTGCACTCTTTTCCTCACATACGGGCTCCTAGCGGAGGTGACATTTTTAATGAGTCAAGTTCCATGTAAAAAACCTCTGGAAATATAAAGAGGAAACCCCCAATTCAAAGCGAAGGTCGAAAGTAGCTAGCAACGTAGCCACAATATTCGACAAGACAAATTTCACGAGAAAGAGGACCCTCCATCATTTCAGGCGAAGGTCCTAAAACAATGGAGCGACCTCCGTGGCTGCAAGACAGCCTACAGACCTTGAAAAAGCCCTATCCTTATTCAGGCATCAAGGATCCAGTTTAATGGTCAAAATAGGCCAAAAACTAGCCCGACAAAGACCTACCTCCGCTGTAGGCATCGGGGAGAACGATAACAAGATTTTGTCTGACAAACAAAGTCAACACCAATTAGCGCAATAAGGGACAACAGATATGGCAAGTACAAAACGATCTCACCTTAAAGACACTTCTAGACGATGAATCAAACACACCCACCAATATTAATTGAACTTCAGAGCCCTGCACTATAAAACCCACCACCCCGCCACCAAGGCCGCCCCAGTCGGGACACCACCACACCACCACCCCCAAGACAGAGCAAGGGGGGAGCCAAAACAAACGAAAAGACAATAATTATCAGCAACAACCAAACAAAAACATGGAAGTTGGAGTTTCCTTAGAAATGAGAGACCAAGAGGTACCGTGAGAAGACTCGTAAAACTAGCAGCTCGCACAGACCGGTGAAGGTCCCGATGAGAGCAAACGCATCTAGCACCCAGCACCACAAGGTCTTCGCAAGCACCGCCTCAACAATAGTCTGGCAGCATCAGGCTGGTCTCAGAGATTGTAGGAGCATATTGTACGAAGGCTCGTAACTTCCCCTTGCAACCGAAGACACCATCTGGCACAACCCGGCATCATCCAAGTTCGACGGGAGCACAGTAGCTCTAGCAAGACCGAAGGCCAGAAACCAAAAAACAAGGATCAAGAGGAAGCAGCGCACAAGAAATGCTTCCTCGGCCTTCGTTGCTTGCTCAAATTGCCCTGTGGCCTCTTGAGAAGCATCAGCAATCTGCGCCACCACCTCCGATGAATGCTCAAATTGCACCAAAGCCTTCGTAGCATCAACAAAAACGAAGACAACAGCAATAGCCAAAATAGCACAGCGCACAGACTTGTACTCAGCGTCAATCAGAAAAGACAGAAGCAGAGGTAGCAAACAAATGAATAAAAAATCTTGTAGTTGACGTCACAGGAGGCAAAGTTATCTCACATCTTTGTAACAAAGCAAATATTCAACAAACAAGCTCAAAACAAACTTCTTTATTAACAAAGGAGTAAAAATCTTACAAGCGCAAAAGCATCATTACACAAAGTTTCAAGAAAAAAAATGAACTACTAAGACTAGGAAAATATTAAAAACACCACGAAGGCTAACAAATCTATATCTAAACGTCCTAATCTAAGCCAGAGGCCAAGGCCCTCGCTAGGCCAGCGAGCGGGTAAACTCCGCACGTTCGTCGTCGATGTTGTCCAGCACAAAATTGAACATCTCCATGACCGAAGGGTGAGAAAAGGTGTCACTCCAGTACTCCCATAACTCTCCGCTAACATAAATACCTTCTTTCATCATTGTTAAAGGCACAATGTCACACACAGGCCCCTGGGGGAAACTTGCGCAGGATCGAACTTACATCAAAATAATAGCAACGCAAACCAGCGTGCGAAGATTATGACTAACCTAGTCCTAGAAACATCTACAAAAACCTAAAAAATAAACTACACCTCTGTCGCTACAGGGGAAAGCTAGTCCCTCTAGCCTTCTGAGCAGTAGTAGCAGGAGCAGAAGACCCCGGAGCGGCCACCTCTATAGCCCCCGTCGTCCGCCCTTCAGTGGCTTGCTAGGCGCTGGCCTTCTATAGATCCTATTCGAGATACGAAGAGCATAAGCAAGATGAAAACAAAACGGAAAAGCATAAGAAGTTAAAAGTCAAAACACAAAACAAAAAGACTAACCGCGGCATGATGAGCCTCCGCCATGGAACAGGCGTCAGCACGGCCGAACTTGACCCAAAAATATTTCATGAAATTCTGAACCGGCTTCATGGTCTCCGTAGAAGTCTCGCCGAGTTCTGAAGGTCCATCAAGGTCTTTCCGGCCCTTCAAGCCCACAAAGTGCGAGCAGCCCATCCTTCCTAGAGTCTTGCAGAGGTTTGTAGTGCAGGAAAGGGCACCAAAATCCATTGCGCCTCCAATGAAGTCTGGTAGCTTCGCCAGGTTTTCCTTGAACCAGCCGAAGACTACAAGGATGGAGGCGTCGGTAGGCATCAGCGAGGTCATGCCTCCAAAACCAGCTAGGGCGGACTAACACAGCTCGGCCACCGCAACGCTAGCAGCACGTGCATCCTCCAGTCGCTTCTGCAACAGCTCCACTTGCGCTCCGAGCGCTTGGCTTGACGACCGCTCGGCCTCAATCTCCTTGCGGAGACCTTCATTGGAGGCAACAGCTTTCTCTAGCCATGAGAGAGAAAGCTCTTTTGTGGCCTTCAAACTGTGAACCTCCTTCTCCAGGGACTCCACTCGGGTCTTCACATCTTCAGCCTTCCAGAGAGCAATGCGTAGGTCACTTGCCTCCACCGCGAGCTGTTTCTTCTCATCCTCCACCCGGTCTAGCTCCTTCTGAAAAAACTCAAGAGCGTCACCACGCTTAATGACCTCTAGGGCCACGCGTTCCTCGAGGACCTCCGACATATGGTGACCCTAATCAAAGACAATGCAAAGTGGGTAGTCAGCAAAGAACAAAAAAACTGAAGGCATGAAAATAAACCCCCGCCACTTACAAAGCAATTGTGTTCCAAGTTGTAGCACAGCAACTTGTGATAATCCACCGTCTTGAATTGGTGGCGGGCATGATCTACAGAGGGAAAAAGAATATAAGAAACAAGTAAGGTAAAAGCAAAACAAAAAACGTACCAAAAACACAACCTCCTATTTCATTATAAATACAATGTAAGGCCTCCGCCCACCCACTTAATGTGTCCGTGGAGCCTCCACCAACACTAGGAAAATTAGGCCAATAAGAATAAGGAAAGGGCACAAGCCAGCATGAAAAGAAAATTCAAAGGCACAAACAATACCTCCGGGCGCACAAGCAGCGTCCGCCGAAGGACTAGCCCCAAACTGCAAGGGGGGGCTTCGGAGGAGCATCCAGCCCCACCCAAGCAAGGTCGACCCCTTTAGGGACTGGTTGCTCCCCAGGGAGGGGCATCTCCATAGCCCACGTCAGGCCAACTAGCAACAAAAGGAGAGGAGTTTTTTAAGGTGGATAAAAACAAGTACCAGCCAAAATGCAGCAACTTAAAAACAGAACTTACCCAAAAGCATGGCACCTGCAACCTCACTTGAGGTGCCGGCACCCGCGGTGCATGGAGCGGTCGAGGCGGCTTCTTGACCGGCGGGAACAATCGAGGCCAGATGTTCACCCGATTCCGCCTTTGACTCCTCCAAATGCTAGGTCTTCGCCGACCAACCAGCTCTTGCAGAGGCCTCCTCGCTCCTGGAGGTGGTAGCAGAGCTAGCTCCCATAGCATCGCCTTCCGACTCCGAAGAGTCATCACCCAGAATGCAGGGAAGTGGGTCCACCACCACTGCCTTCGCCTCAGCAACTACTACCACTCCAATAGACGAGCCCATCAGGTCTTCGGCGGCGCAGCTAGCAGAGGTCGGCGCTGGAATGGCAGTACCAGCTTCATGGGTGGCTTCAGGTCCACCATGGCCACTCTCAGCCACCTCCTTAGCTGAATCCGTGGCGACCTTCGCCACCTTCCACTTCTTGGCGACGGCCTTCGGCACATCGCTATCTTTCCTCTTCCGTGACTCAGCTTGTATCGTGGCAACGGGGGCCGCAGCGGACCTCGAAGCCTTCATAGCTTTGTCCTCCACCGACTTCAGGATCTTCTCAGGGGTCTTGCGGTCCCTGTACTTAACCTTCATTTCTTCAAAAACCTAGTCAACTGGGGCATCGTGCCACTGATGGCACGACAAGATAGTTACTCCCTCTCAGAGACCTCTTTGAGGATCTTTGAAACAGACTTCTACACCTCAGTAATGAACTCCTCATCCATCTCGTCTTCTGCCCGCTTAAGATAGAAGCACAGGCAGAACTCCCCTTCCTCGCTGCCAAAGACTGGCAGCTTCATCTTCACCAGTGTCATCTAAGGCCTGTGCTTCCCAAAAGGCTAGAAGTTGGATACCACCATCTCTTCGACAAGATCCCAGCCACTGGAGAAGCGGCACACCTTTCCAAAGGAAGCATCGCACGCCGCCCTCTGCACGTCAACATCCAAAGGAGGCCTCACCCGAGTTGCTGGCTTCATCTCCCCCATGACTAAAGTGAAGGGGTACTTCTTCACCTTGGGGATGGTCTTTGGAACAACCCTAGGGGTCTTCACATAGATTCAGTACCAGGACCAGTCCTTCTCCCATTTGTTCTTCTGGGCGAAGGAGATCCCTAACCCGCCCTCCTTCTGAGCCCTCTTCACCATGAAGGTGTAGCTAGAGAAATGGTATTCCACCTCAACGCCATCAACCTTCCCCTTCTTCTGCTGCCGCTGAAGTTCATAGAATGCACAGAACATGTCCAGGTCCGGTGGAGACCCATACGTCTCGCATGCGTAGCAGAATTTACTCAAAGTGAGAATCTCATTCGGCGTCAGGTGATGGAGTTGTATACTTGAAGGTCTCCAGGACAAGCCGAAGGAAGTACACAGGAGGGATCCGAAGGCCGCAGGAGAAGTCCTTAAACATGACAGCCTCATCAACCTCTGGCTGAGGGATCGTCTCACCATGAGGAAGACGACCCTTACCCTCTAGAAAGCAACCCTCCTCCTCTAGGGACTTGATTGCCTCCTCGGTCATCAGTGTAGGCCCAAACTCCTAGGACTTGGCCATCTCTATCCTTGGCTTCTCCGTGGAAAAAACGGGGACCAAATCTCCAACATAAGCTTGTACACTATCCAAACAATCCAGGGCCTCCGCTGAAATGGACATGCACTCTTTGTACATGCGAAGCCAACCCTCTGAGCGAACACAGAGCAAGCGGGAATAGGGACCGCTAAAGCTTGGCCAGCGGAGATCCGAACAAACAGGTGAAGCCAGCGCTGAAGGCAGCGCTACAACAAGGAAGCAATGGTTCAAGCAAGGAAAAATGCTAAGTCCTAAGCACTAAAAGCAAAGGCAGCGCGACAGCAGAGCAGCAGGAGAAAGCAAAGCAAGGCTAGTGAAAGCGACTGCTCAAGCATTCGGGTAGGGGGGCCTCCTCCACGACCCCCCTTATATAGGCATCGAACTGACGCTTCCCATTCCGCTTGCCAATGGTCACACCAAAAACCCAACAGTCGCGCCCCTTCAAGCAAGTATTGATCCATGGGCCACCACGACCAATCATGAAGGGACACATCAACTCAGCCAACGGTCCGATATAGGCGGACCAGGGGGAAAGGGGGGATGCCAGGCCTCCGCTGATCCAAAGCAATGTCATTTTTTGAGGCTCACAGCCCGCTCGCATCGGACCGAAACCTCAAGGTGTGAACTGTTGGGACACCAGGCTTCGAACTCGCGAAGGCCATAGGATAATCTTGAGATGAACCTCTAACACTCTCTTCAAGCCCCTTGCAGGGATGTCTGAAAGACCTTCGCGTCGAAGGCCAAGAGTGGGCGGAGGCCCCCTCGGGTGGGGCGTGGAAATGACCACCCGGGACCTTCGCCGGATACATGAGAGCCTTCGCCCGCGCCTAGCAGTTGGGCGGAGGCTAGTCCATGTGACGGAAGGAGCCGGACCTCCGAGAAAAGCCAAAGACCTCAAGGTAGGACGCGAAGACAACGCTGCAAGGGAAGGAGATCTTGGCCCCTATTGGGCCTGCCACCGGAGCTTAGAGGGCAAGGGTGGAATGCAAGCGGCTAAGGTCTGAAGGACCCCCATGTGATGGAGCTAGAGTAGGAATGTTACGGGAATATACCGAGGCAGCTGAGGGGCAAAATAGTAATGTATGAAGGTAGCAAGGGGAGCGCCCTATAAAAGAGGAAGGGCAACCCATGTAATGGTTTGTTGGTAGCTCATTAATGAAACCCTAACCCATCGGTACTTGTGCCGACTACTACCCTGTTGGAGACCTTTGCCTCCAACAGTGGGATTGGGAGATAAAGTGGGGTCTCAGAATCTAGGACTCCTTAGCCGCATATGGATGTCACTGAGCCCACGCGCACCCCCACGCCGCCGTAAGAGGAGGCAGAACTCGTGCACCGCCGCTCACGGAAGAAGAACCGAGCCGCCGCCCGCGAAAGGAGACCCCTGCCACTATCCACCAAAGAAGAGTCGATTCCGCACAACTGCTCAGATCCACTTCGATGCACCGAATCGACCGGTGGTGCTAAGGAGAGAGTGCATGTGAGAGGGCAGCACACAGGGAGAGAGAGAGGCAGAGAGAGTGTGGAGAGGCAGTATAGAGGGAGAGAGAGTGGGAGTAGGAAGCGTCACCAGCTAAGGAAGCGACTCCAATAGAAACCCTAAGTCCCTCTATATATATAAGCGCAGTAGTGAAAACAGATGTCCACTATCGGTTTAAAGTCATGGGCCCACTTTTGATTTGTAGTGGCGTTTGCTTTTTATGGACCGCCAGTGAAAAGAATCATAGTGTTAGCAAAAATCATTTCTATACAAGTATACTTGCCACCTCTAATAATAGAGGCTATTTCTAGAGGTGGCCACCCCTAAAATTAAGATTGGATATGTAGAGACAAGCGGAGTCTTTCCCACAATTTTTCTATGCCGGTGTTTCAAACAGATGGATGGCTCTCCATTTTCCAAACCCAGAACCATATATTACTTCTTGCCCATTATTATCCCCTCCAAGGCTGCTTTTCTCTTCTGCCTATTAAAGCACAGCACTTCCCCTCTGTCACTACCCCATTTTTCGACATCACTGTCGGATTTTGAACTGGCAGTGATGTGCGGATGACATCACTGTCGGTTCTTATGAACCGACACTGATGTGGTTTTTAGGAAATCCAAAAAAATAGGCCAAAAAAATAAGGATTTTTTTTTAATTTTGGGAGAGGCCCCATTGGACAGCCACACGATCGGGCATCGCAAGTCACAAGTCACATGATTTTTCACGCAAAAAACACATGCTTCGTGACCACCGGCGCTCGAATCCCTGACCTCCTGCTTTGTGTCTTCAGCCCCTAACCACTGCACCTGCAAGTTGTTTATGTCCGAATGAGATTTTCGTTCCAGCCATTTTATGTTCATCTGATTTTGAAATGAGTATTTGGGGCCCTAAACGAATTCAAATGAAAAAGTTGTCAACTACAAACTTTTATAACTTTTCGAGATCTAGAACTTTCATTTTGGTAGTTTCTCCATCCGAGGTCGTTTACAAAATTTGAATTTCAAATTTGAGAAATTCAAACGTAGTTTTCCATGATAAGATGATTTCAAATCAAAAAGTTATCAACTACAAAGTTTCATAACTTTTTGAGATCTACAACTTTTGTTTTTGTTGTTTGTCCATCCGAGGTCATTTAAAAAATTCAAATTTCAAATTTTAGGAAATTCAAACATAATTTTTGTTGACAAGATGATTTCAAATCAAAAAGTTGTCAACTACAAAGTTTCATAACTTTTTGGGATATACAACTTTATTTTGGTAGTTTCTCCATCTGAAATCGTTTACAAAATTTGAATTTCAAATGTTAAAAATTTAAACGTAATTTTCCTTGACAAGATGATTTCAAATCAAAAAGTTGTCAACTACAGAGTTTCACAACTTTTCAAGATCTACAACTTTTATTTTGGTGATTTGATTATTTATTCATCCGACATAGCGGTAGTAATATTATTCACAAATATAAAATATCTTTTTTATAGTTTACGGAACTATAAGAGAGATACGTAAATTTTGTAAACAATATCACTACCACTTTATTGGACGAAAAAAAGACCAAAATAAAAGTTGTAAATCTTGATAAGGTCTACAACTTCTATGGTCATGACTTTTTCAGCTTAAATCATTTAGTATTCCAAAATGATGTTTGAAGTTATTATTTTTTAAAATTCAAAATTCAAATAGATAAAACACAGTCACATGAAAAGATGGATAAAATAATAGTTGTAAGAATACAATAAATTGATAGAGCATGATTTTAGAATTTTTTAGGAAAAATCATCAAATTTGAAGTTAGTACGAGGGAGAAAGACTAGTTACAAGTTTTAGCCCGAGATTAAAAAGAGAAATAAGAGTTCTTCAATAATTTTAAATTTTAATTTCAAACAACATTTCAAACTAGTAAATGATTTCAAATGAAAAAGTTGTCAACTACAAAGTTGCATAACTTTTCGAGATCTACAACTTTTGTTTTGGGCATTTCTCCATCCAAGGTCGTTTGAAAAATTCAAATTTTTAATTTGAGAAATCAAACATAATTTTCATTAGATAGATGATTTTAAATGAAAATATTTGGACATCCAAACGATCTTAAATTAAAAAAAAAAATAAACTACAAAGATGTAGATCTCGTCGAGTACTACAATTTTGATATAAAGTTCGTCTTAATCGAACATCATATGAGAAACTTATAAAGTTTTCTTACAGCATATCATTGTCGGTTCAAGCCACGAACCGACAGTGATAGTA